GGGATGAAGCTCAGTTGCAAGCTATCGAAAAACTGCAGATACAGGACAAGGTATGTAGGCTTATATACCCCTAAGTACGAGTACCATAGCAGTTGTGCGCGATGCATCACAACACGTATCCACAGTAGTCAACAGAGTCATCAGTGAAATAAACAAGAGTCATACAGTGTCTAAGATGGGAGTAGGGAGGCAATGAAGGCTATACCAGCTGGCGCAATCAATGCACAGCGAGGAGCCTGACACCGGAGCTATAGTACAACATACAAGCAATATAAATGAGTCAGAGAAGCGAGAAATGAGCAAGTCGTCCATCAGAGAGGGTGGTGGAATACCAAATCACAGTGGCAACGCAGTCTTGACAGGTATTGGAAATACCTTGACAGCAGGAGATCTGAACATTCCCTGGAGCATTTGAGCCCCCAGGATGGTGACAACTACAAGGGATGTGATGAGGCATGTGACGCTGTCACACACCAAAGGTGTTTGGTGAGGTGGACATGGATGTAGCTGATGAATGGAGGTGAAGACCATAGCCCTCATGCAAAGAAGGACAGCCAGCAATGTCGGCAGTCATCCCTTGCACAAGAACAAGTTGTCAGTGCCAAAGAAAAAGGAGGAGGCGAGTTAAGCACCAATAAAATTCTTAAGCACCCGTGTATGGCATTCCGGTTTTCGACATATCTCCACCAGTTCTGCAGACACCAAATCCATTCCCACACTCGCTTGTAGTGCTCAGCCACGCGATCCTACCTTCCAAGATTGGAAAGGATTTGTGCACTCCACACATTTCTACAGCACTCCCTCCAAAAGACGCTCATTTTGCTAATTCTTCTGATATGGCTGCCTCCACATCAGTCATTTCACTTGTCCCCTTTGCTAGGGACCATGGCTACATATATCTACCAGGAGTTCCTACCAGCTTCTGTCCTGAAGCATCCTGGTACATCCCACCCTCATCTGCCCCCTCTCAGCCCATCCAGCTTGGACAGCATGTTCTTTTTGTCAGTATGACCTCCAGGAGGACGTTCTTTGGTCGCCTCAGGTCTGTCATTCGCTTGGAAAGGTCTTATGTGGTCATTTCAGTCTCTCCAGTCCAAGAAGCATATGGATCCTTCCTCCCTGCCCCCTGCAACGTCTTCATACCAGTCTCGTCCATCATTCTTCCAAAATTGTGACAGCTACAGTATAATCTACTGTTCTCCACTCTCCCTGATCGCATCCATGATGAGTATGATGCACATCTTGCCTCCTTGTTGCAAGATACAGCAGAAGACGCTCCCCCTTCATCCTCTCTTCCAACAGAGCCTCGTTCATGAAGTTTTTATTTGCTTCACTGAGAGGATGGTTTGGGGGGGAAAGTTGCAATCCCCTATGCTCCTGTCACCCCACAGACCCCCAAAGCTTGACCCCTGTTGACATCTGACTCACCCTGTCCACTTTTGGATGTACTATATCGGCATCAGGTCAGCGCTGCCTCTCTGTCATCCCACTTTGGCCTAGAAGCAATCTCTTCAAGATGTGACATGCACAGCCTCCCCCTAATGCGATTCCAGTGCACTTTCCCAGTTCCTGACATTGCTTGACTCATACTTTGACATTCTGACTGTCTTTGACTCACCTATTGCCAATACTTACCAATCTTTTGACTTTGCTTACTGATTCTTCACTTTTTGGCTTACTTATCCTTACCAGTGCTTACCAATGCTTTCCAAGATGATTACCCATCGCTTACATTCCTTACTCATCAGTTACCAATCGCTTACCAAGTGTTTACACCTTGTTTTCCATAGGCAACGCCCCTGTACTGTATATAAGTCACTGTACTTAGGTAGCAAAAAAAAAAAAAAGAAGACATCAGAGAGCCCCTCTTGATCGCAATTTATCATCTCTCAGTAAATCATTCAACAGCTTCGATAGTTGAGACTTTATTAAGGGTCTAGCTATCATCTACTTTGCTTATCATCATCTATCATCCATATACTTCACTCCAAGCCCTCCCTGAGCTCAGTACAGCTTAGGACATTGAATTAAGTCACCATCCATCCTTCTGTAGGCTGACAGCAGTCTACCCTATTGCTTTCCATCACATTCTTGCTCCCTCTTTGTCAGGAGCACCCCCAACCCTCAGCACTCATCTTTGAGTGTTGTAGCTTGCAAAAAAACCCTCCCAAAGAACAGGTTCTACCATCTAGGTACCACATAGGCACACCACCACTCGCTTTCATTGTCTTTTGTGTTGGTTTTGGTTGGTTTTCACCACTGAACCTCACTTTGACTCACAATGCACATGACTGCAAGAAGTTGAAAAAGGAAAGGCCCCTGACAGGTGCATAACACTTCCTGGGCTCTGTCCCTGCCCTGTGGGCATTGTATATGATAGTTAGATGTACTATAAGTGTATTAGACCATAAATGAATGCTTTTCTGCCCATCCTAATGGGCCTAAATGATTGCAAAGTGGGATAGGGGGAAAAACAGAAAAAGTGAACACTTTATTGATATATTGGACATATATATCTATTTATTGTGTCCCCTTGAAGGGGCCATGTGTCCTTACAACATATCAAAAGTTGATAGGTTGGGATGGGGTGCTTCAAGTGTAGTGGCACAATTGCCTCCTCCTGTGTTACACCCTGAAAAATATTTTTCTGGGCTTTTTGGCACTGGTAATGTAACCTGACATGGTGTAGTGGTCATAATAAGTGTATTCACATGTAATTTGATCATCCATGCAGTGTCTGAAAGGCTCTGAAAAACTGGAAAGTATCTTAGGGGCTAAGACAAAAAAAGTGCTTGCATTTTTGATATATTTGACATGGGCACTTAAAAAGGAATCAGCTTGGAGGATGGCTCTGTACCTACAACATATCAACAGCTCATTATGTGGGGCAGAAACCTTGAGGTGTTGTGCCATGATCTCTTCCTGCTGGTATGTAGGGGTTTCATCAGGTTTTAGGCTGTTTACTGCTATTCTGACTATCTAGGCAGCACTGGAATACTTATTGGCAGTCACCACAATATTCCCAAGTGCATACATTCAGGGGAGAGCACTGGGGAACTGAAACAATCCTCCAGAGAGCATGGGAAAAGGTGCAAAAAATTGTGGAGACTTTCAAAACATATCAAAAAGATGAAATAGCACACCCCACACCATGTGTGGTATCCAATAGATGGTAGTGCTGAGATTTTGTTCATATGATAGGACCTCCTGGGACATCCCAACCTATCAACTTTTGATATGTTGTAGGGACACATGGCCCCTTCAAGGGGACACAATAAATAGATATATATGTCCAATATATCAACAAAGTGTTCGCTTTTTCTGTTTTTCCCTCTATCCCACTTTGCAATCATTTAGGCCCATTAGGATGGGCAGAAAAGCGTTCATTTATGGTCTAATACACTTATAGTACATCTAACTATCATATACAATGCCCACAGGGCAGGGACAGAGCCCAGGAAGGAAGGGAGGCTGGGGGCAATGAGGGCAGTGTGTGGGAATGTTGGATATCAGGCACATGCCAAATGAGGACATGTTTTGGGAGTATTAGTGGCTGCGCTTTTTTATGCTTATGTAATTACATAAAATGTGGAGGAGTGGGGATTTGTGGGGAGAAACTCCCAAGGGGAGGGGGTGGGCAGATCTCAGATCTGCACTACTAGTATACTGACACATCACTACTGGTATAAGGGAGTTAGGCAGTCTTGCATCACAGTAATGCTACAATTATCACACTTTGATGCATCAAAATGACACTATAGCCTGGGATGTTGAAAAAAGCATCTCAATTTTCAGGGTGCAGTGACCTTGTAAACAAGGTGATGACCACGTGACCTACGACCGAACAAACTGCATGAATGTATGACTGCATAACCTACGACCGAACGAACTGCACGACCTTCGGACTGCATGAATGTGTGACCGCGTGACCTACGGCCGAACGAACTGCATGACTGCAGTGTCCGGTGTCCTCCTAACCGACGATACTTCCCAACTTCGAAGATACGTGCTGCACGTCCACGTGACCGCCGGAAAAAGTTCCAACTTTCGGCCGTACGGAAGCGCGATTGTCCGGCTTCCCATAACTCGATGCATCGCTAGCTCACGCTGCACCAAGCTTATGTTGTCAACTATCCATGAAAATCACTGTCGTAGCTGTGGCGCTCTCGCACATTGCACGGAAATTCCTGTCTGGACTCTCAAAATAACTCCCAAAACCACGAGCGTATGGGACGTAACATACGTACGTACCCTTTCCAGGCGTATATCCTTACAACTGGAAGTCCGGAATCCATAGCATGTTAGAGGGGAGCATAGGTATCTTCATGTCCGTTGGAGGCATATATCCTTCTTCGGAGTGGTATTTGACCCGATAATGTATCCCTTTTCTCGTGGGTAATGCATAACTAAACGAAGAACTTAGGACACTTTTCATCCGACTCGCATCCCTCAACCTCTCTCCCCTCGCACTCGCGTGTTGGATTCCAGCGAGTTTCCCGCATGTGATGTTCCTTTGCCACCCGCTGAACGTGAGCATCCGTCTGTTTCTCAAGAACTTGGCCGCCTCCTCATAGTCGATTGAACGGCCCTGCTTGAACCCATTACTGTAAACCGCACGAGGCTAGATCCAGATTCTTGAACTCGAGGCTTTCGTTCGTCCCAAATTCACACGCACATGCTCGCCAGCTCAATCATCGTGAAATGTCATAACCATCTTGAATAAGTACCACAGGTGTGGCTGGGAACAGGTTTGCCAAAAGTCCACAGTCTAAGCTCATAGTACAACGAGTAATTTATTTTGATACCGCTCGCTCGGAGACGCGCTCATATTCACTCCTTCCTGTGTTTCTGATAGTAATGGATGAGATCCGTGGTTCATCCGACGCCCGCGTCAAACATCTATCGAGAAGAAGAGGATGGCAGGACGCACAGAACTATCGTGGCCTTTGACATCATGTGGCGCATTCAACTGCGCTAAGATGTTCTTCGCGAGGACCTTGCCAAGTTCAACACCCATTTGATCTGGTAGTGGTGATACCGATCGGTCAGACACCAACATCATCAACGACAGACACGAGATACGCACCGAAGGAGTTGATACCCCAGATAACGCCCTGCGTGAAGATCTTATGTTCGCACAGCACAATCAACGCGCCGAGCGTTCTCGGCGTCAACAACGGGAACAAAATACTGTTGCTCGGATGGTTCCTCTCGAACACTTTACTCTTCACGACCTCCTCCCTCGCATTGGGGCCGAGCTCTTTACGAACCTCTTCTTTGGTCTTGCCAAACGCCAGCGCCTCGAGTTGCGCGAAATAGTTGGAGAGCTTGGAGAGCAGGGTACGGTGGTGTTTGGAATGGTCAATAGGGTTGTGGAACGCGCAGGGAGCAAGGAAGTCTGCAGGGACGAGTTTTGTTCCTTGATATAGGAGTTGGTAGAACGGGTGTTGGCCGTTCGTACCCGCCGCACCCCTAATGATAAGCTATGAACGAGACGGGAGGGGCGTCAGCTGTGAGCCAAGCACGAAGAAAATGAAGAATAAGTACATACTCCAGTCTGACAATCGACCGCTTGCCGGACTTGGTGACCGATTTATTGTTGGACTCCATATCGCCTTGTTGGAAGTAATCGGTGAACTTGTGCAGGTCCTGGTCGTAAGGGGGGACATGAATCTGAGCGCCGTAGAAGTCGTTGTACCAGATACTGAGGACAGCGAGGATAACGGGGAGATTGTTCTCCAGAAGAGTTTCTTTGAAGTACTTGTCCATCCCGATTCATATTCGAGGATACGACGATAGGGAGATGGAGATAGCACTGTGCTTGCTAGCGAAGGGATAAAGAACGAACGTAAGCCTGACGGACATCTTAGTCTTCTGATTTGATAGAGTCGGATTAGTCTACATATCTATTCCGAGCGTATATTGCAGTCGTAAAGATATCCGCGGAGGCCCAACCAAGCGGGGAGAATGCTACCCGTTCCACGTCTTCCATTCGCAGCCTTCCATCCTATCAAGAGCAAAGAAACTGGGATATCTGACAGCAATAAACAAGGTACAGCAGAATATTACATTCCGAGTTGTCGTAGAAGAGTCAGTTCGTTAGTACTCCAGCCGAAGTGTAACAGAAAACACTCACATTCGGCCTGCACACTGCCTTGTCCCTCTCGTTCTCGGGCGCGGACGACGCCACCTGGTATTACCTGTAACCCATACCCAGCAGGACCCACCACCAGGGGCCACAACACCTGCGCAGTCAGACATATTCGCTGGAGTCATACGCACTCTCACTGACACCGAAATCGGCTCCATAGACCAACGGGTCATATCTGTGTGATCCCACAGAATTCGAGATCCGAGCACCTTGCAGGCATTATGCACTACGATATCCCATGCATTGCGACCTCTTTCAATCCGCTACGCGTGACGAGTCTGTATCCCTGCTGCAGGCAAAATATCCCATTCCCCGAAGTCCAACCTCACCTCCCGCTTGATCTTGTGACCCAATTCCAAGAGAAGAGCAGGGAATTCGGAACTTCTCAACCGAGTGTACTGTGCTCGACAAACATGTAACTGTTTTCTAGGTTTTCTAACCGAAACCATATTCGGGAAGACAGTCTGCGACTATTCCACACCCAAATGCAGAACTCGAACGTCCGCAAATTGTCGAGGACGACACGACGGATGGATGGATACTTGTTGGCAAGAATAAAGTGGCAAGCATGTCCTTAACCCCGGACCTACAGAAGGCTGGGCGCGGTGCCTAGGCTACCCGTAGCTTATTGACCTGAACATGGGGTATTATCATATGACGTGTCGGTGCAGGACAGAGTTTTGTTATTTGTATGGGGCGCCATGGAAGGTGTGTAGGTGCCCTCAGTGGGATGAGTGCCGACTGTTTGCTGTGGCGGAACAGAGAGTCGCAACTCGGCAGGGGTGAGCACCACCATCCCTTGCTCGCGTTCAGTTGAGGCCTCGAAACGTTCAAGTCATTCAACCCAGATCTCAGCCTGCACATATTATTTAACCAAGGGCTCATTATGATTATGCCGTGCCAGCTTTCCGAGCTCCTGTTGCTACATCGGTCCACCCAACAGTTCCTCTTTCGGACTCCAGAACACCATGTCCAGTTCTGTCTGCACCGCCGGTTCGGCCGAGAGCTCGCACAACTGACTTCCCAGCTGTTGATACAACCGTGTGCCGTATCCGAACTCGGGTTCGGCGTCTCGCCGCTGCCCAGTCTTCGGCAACACCAATTCAACACCAATCTCATGGACGATCACTTACTCAGGCAGTCCAGCTCAATCAGCTCAGAGCGACGAATACGCACTTGTGCTCTCGCCCTGCACGATATTCAAAACCTGCATCTTTGACTTCGACAATTACTTCGCTGTGACCCAGTCCTGCCTTACCTCGCAAACCTGCATTTTAACTAATATTAGAACTATGGGCACAGGTCCGTCCCCATCTCGGAACGTCGGCACTCGAAATGGTACCGGTCGCCAACGCATGATTTACGAAGTGGCCGAATGTCTCTGCGGATCACCACTATCAACATGCAAGTTTCGTCAGAGAGGAGGGAGGTGTGAGCATTGTCATCGTGCGTTGCCGCTGTATTTTTTTGTGAGTGTGTTGTTTGTGCAGGCGGGGAATACTGCTGACTATTGTGTATTCTCTTTCCCCAATAATGGTCCTTTGCGATGTCCTCTCCTCCCTTCTCTCACTTTTCTCCCTCGATCGATTTTGGGAGCTAGAGGTATGTTGGGTGTGAGATGTTGGTGTGTAATCAGTTTCGCCGGAACAAGTTGTTAGATATTGTATCGGTAAGGTGACCCCTTTTTTTCTTAATAACGTTTAAAACGGTGCCAGGTGACTAGAGGGAAGTTCGAGGACAGAGCAATGTCATTCGCCTAGTCACAATCACAAGTCTTTTTGTAATGTTCGTTCGTACAATTAGCTATAACCCGTCTTCGATGCTGTTTCCCCATTCAATTCTGGCTTGATTTGCACATCGGATAGCCTTCGACGTCGCAACGAAATGAATATTGGTTGCTCGCACTTGCAAACTCCTTGCGAACGTTTCAGACAAAGACAGGGGGTCCGACATGCTTTGCGTGCCCGTGTACCTACAATACCCTCCGTACACAGGTATAAAATAAAACGCATGCTAGGACAAAACATGAAGTGGCACCCGGTGACGCAGGTCACTTTCGGTAAGAAAGACTTCCTACACGATCTCGGGTATCAGCACTTGACTATCTAAGACACTGGTCAGATCCTGAGGGTAAGCAGTAATCATACAGTCGCTTGCGATTCTCCTGTACTCATTGTGACGCGACTTCTCAAGTAGAAGTGTGTTGAATGGTTGCTTCAGCTGTTCCAACAGCTCCCACATAGCGTCATCATCGCCGCCGCTTTGCGTCGGGAGTGCTTTTGGATGCCACGGACGAACAAGAACATATCTACCGGCACCCTCGTCGAGGTTGGCTGACAGCGCGAGCTCGAGGGGAGTAAGGCGCGACGCATGAATCGTGTACGTATAGCGGTCGGAGGGTCTAGTCGAGGTCCCTTGTAGTTTGACTACAGTGGCCGGGTGGACGGTGCAGGGCAACACAAGCTTGCTGTTAACAAATCCGGCCCGTGGTAATCTTGCAAGGTTATTGTACAATTTCTGTGCCTTTTCAGGATCCAGATCATCATGTTTGGCAGGGTTACTGGGGGTCAACTGGATGTCAGGCACCGTCTGATACGGTACGAGATTGGCAGGGAAGCAGCTATTGAACGATGATGCCTCCCCAGCCCAGTCCAGAACCGAAATGTCTCCAGAACGTGAAATGATCTCTGCCAGGAGACGTCCGAGCGCATTCTCCACAGATTCACCATAGAGGACTGGTAAGTGAATTTTGAAGATTCCAAAAAGTGAATAGGCAATATCTTCCGGCCGAGTGGTACTACGGACTGATGCCCAGTGCAGTCTAGATCGCGCATTGTCCAGGCCTGGATAAAAGTCAATGAGATGCTGTTTTTCTATTCCGGTTGCCTTCTCGACCTCTTCGAGCAAGGCGGGGTCTGTTTTGTGATTTGCGGATTCACGGTTCATATAGAGTGACCAGTCCTGCGTATAGAACAAGACAGCACGTGAAGCCAACAATTCTTGGAGCGTCCAGCCTCGTTTGAACCAGACACTATTGGCAAGGAAATCGGTGTTGCAGACGTCGCAGAGGTGCACAAGCGTCAGTGACGACGAGCGATACCAAAAAAACATAGACCCAATCGCCTCTTGCAATTCAGCGCTGCTGTCTTTGTCAATGCAACATGTATCGCTCCATGCCCACAAGAAGCCACGTCTGAGAGCGAGAGCACAAAACCGTTGAAGCTTTTCCAAACCGTCTCCACCGTCCAAATCATAGATACTTTTACCCTCAACATCACGCAGTATCGGCTCCGCACTTCCCCATCTGTGAGATAATGTGGCGAATTTAAAGAACCTAGTGACTGTTTCACGGATTAGGGCTTCTTGTCGCTGGCCGTCACATGCGGTCATCGACGAAGGTAGCTGGCCATATTCAAGGCTACCCTCGAAGAGGGATAGCAGGGCATCCCGATTGCATAGAACGCCAGTCGATGTATGCAACAGCCGTAATGGAATTTTTTCGACTGTTTCGAAAACAATCTTCTTGATCGTTAGCCAGATGTCGGCGGAACTAGAGGGATCGCCCCTCGCTCCCGCTATGCGAGCTCGGGCTTGGGCACCCTGTTTTCTACTCTTCGCATCCAAATAATTCGCAAGGCAGTCCTGAGACAATGTACGGTCGGGATGTCCCAGAGGGCAAAGTTCCAAAGCAGTACGTCCAAGGTTGATTGCTTCCTTTACGTCGGTGGCCAAGCCCAGTTTCTCGAATCTTTCGAGAAGAGAATTAGCGAGATTGAGAACAGTTCTGCATTGGTCCGGTTGGGGAGTACATTCCAACATAGCCCAACGAAGAGATACAATTGCCTCAAGATCCGCCATGTCATCCCCCTTCTTGAAGCGTTCATAAAGGCAATCGTCGAGTTCAAGAAGAATCGTTCGTCTTCTTGGGTGGTTTTGGGGCACAGATTCCAACGCAGCTCGCCTCAGAGTAATCATCTCATCCAGATCCACTTTTGTGTCTACCTTCTTGCATCGTTCAGAGAGGAGGTCAATAAGGTTAATAAGAGCTGTATGGAGTCGTGGGTGTCCCGGTGGAGCGAACTCCACTGCAGTTCGCGCGAGGGCGATTATCGTGTCCAAACCACCGTCTCTTCCTTCATCCCTGAACTCCTTCAGAAGAAAATCGGCAAGACTTTGGAGAACTAAACAGCCATCTGGGAGTCTCGGAGGCATACGTTTCAATGTAGATCTCGACAGGGAGAAGTCATGTCTAAAAAATGGAAAAAATGGGATTACAACTGTCTATCAGATATACTGATGCGATGAAAAGTAACGTACCTGCGTCTCAAGTGTATCCTTGAGAAGCAACAGTACCGCATTCCATGCTGTTTCTGGTCTTCCTTCAAAGGTCGCAGGGAGCAGTGACACGTGCCATCTGTTACCATTGTCATTCAACACTCCCGCTAAGTTTTCGAGTTGCAACAACCGTTGGCTAAGCCTGTCCTCGGAAAGAATATACGCCGGGATCCTGGTCGGCACGACAAGAACCCGAGAGGGGACCGTGAACTTGCCGGGAAACCACTTCGCAAACTTATGGAGATGCCGCGCCATCGACATGTCGTCATCTTTCGGATCCGAGTGGAGCGAATGGAGAAAGAGAATTCCTGAATGACATTTTTCGGTAAAGCTATTACCATTAAGTAAGACGTTATCACGAAAGGGCATCCGTCGCACTTACTTCGATCTTAACCAATCAGTCACCGCATCCTCAATATCGAAAGCTTCGTCGTTGGTATAGAACCATGGGGTATCTACAACTACGATATTGACTGCACCGTCCATAAGATTGTACTTGAATGCTTTAACGTTCTTTGCACGAGGATGTTGAACCATCTTTGCGACTTGGATATCGTGTTTGTTAACCAACTGCATGGCGAACTGGCAATCGGTTAGGAGAGTCTGCATATATATGTGCCTAACCATACCCAACTCTTGCCAGCTCCAGCTGGTCCGACCACACTGCCAACCAAAGTTCAGCCCAGCGTTCAGAGGGATCATGCTGCCACATACAAGATTACAAAATCATTCTCTGTAATCTGAGATGGAAATACCATTTCCGTCCCGACAGACCCACAACTAGTATCAGAGGTAATGGTCGAAAGCAACGGAGATCCTCGAAGAAAACGCTCGCTATCCTGTGGGATTGGGCCAGACCTCCTTGCATGATTTGTGAACTGCTTGAAAATCCCCCCGATATTCGATGTGAGGCCGGTACAAATCGCCGTCACAGCTCTTCTCCTGTGAAGCGGCACGGGTCCATCAACCATTTCTCGCTGCATTTGAAGCGGACGGCGCTCAACGGGTGGCGCCACGGAAAGGCAGCTAATAATTTCCCAGGCAGATTCCGTAGTCCCGTCGAAGCGGTGAATGGTTGATCCCAAGTTGATCATGGACCGCCAGAAGTCGGACTGCAGTTCGTTTTCGCGTGCTGAGCCAACCTCTTCAGTTACTTCATCCCACATCGTAGTAACGAGGACGACATTCTTGAAGTTCTCCTTTCCACATAGTTCCCTGAACATATTGTAGTTCCTTAACGGTGTCCCTGAAACCCTATTGTCTGAAATTCGGTGCAAATACAACACGCCGCTCAACTTGATGTTCTTTTTGTAGCTGAAACGTTGTCAGAACTGAGACTGCGCAAAAATCAAGTTGGCTGGCTTACGTTGCATTCAACCAATGCGCAATTTGCCTAAGAATCTGGGCATCTGTCATGAACGTATCGTCGAACCCAGGAGTATCAACTAAAACAATGTTGCGGATGCCATCGGAATGAGGATATCGAACCGGGCGAATTCCCTTCATATACATCAAATCATGACCGGCATTCACAGTGGGTCTTCCCACCGCACAATCGACAAACTGGGTTCGTTCAATTTGAGTGAGCCTGTGGGCACGCGTGGAATACTCACAGTGCTCTTCCCAGCGCCAGTAGGACCCATGACACTGGCATCGAGCATTAGCATTAAAGATCGATATAGGGAGTAGTGCCGACGCACGCGATAATGATATCATTCTCATCAATCGCAATTTCCCCGAGCGGAGACGTCGGAATTGCAGTTAGATCACTCGCACTATCACTGAACCGGCATCCGAGGGCGGCGATGCTGTCTACCCAGGCTTGGACATCCTGGTTACCCCTCGGTGGTGTATCGCGAACATTCCATTCAGGTATGTCATTTAAAGGACTTGAGATATAGTGGATGTCCCCAGGAGCCACAAGCGGGGTAGATGAGGAGGAAGAGTCGTCGGTATTCCTTAGTGGAGAACGAGACAGGGAAGGAGTCTAATTCCCCTGTTATCCAAGAGAGTGGATGCAAGACTTCTAGACTTACCTTGGACAGCGACATCAAGAAAATGGGAAATAGGGGAGCGCGCTGCAAGGAGGGGATTTGGCATGGAACACGCCTTAAGTACTTGACGTCGCATTTAATAAAGCACGACAACGAGGCACGACATGCATTCAACATGAGGACGGATCCATATTCCTGGGATCGAGAGCCAAAGCGCTAATCTTGGGTCTGCTAGTCCAGGCTGTTAGGCAACGGGCGGCGTGTACATGGCACGCGCTGGCAGGCGTGGTTGAAACAGGCTGAACACGAGCTTCGTGGGGCAGATATAGCCCACTCCCTTATAATCCATATCCATTCGGAACGGGCCACAGAGTACAGGGTGTGAGAGATTTTCTAACAGCCACTATTGGTTATGGCAAGGTTGGACGAATCATGAATTTCTCACGTGCACACATTGTAAAGGGACACTTCGGCACTAGCTTCGGTTCCCTCCTTCCGGCATACAACATAGAGCCGTCTGCAATCCTTACACTCCCTCCGAAAACCTCCAAGACTCGACTGGAGATCAAGGACTTATTCTAACAGGCGGAAGATGCGGCCACGGTACTACCGTTAGCAATGTCATTCGCTGTAGCTGCATCACTCGATGCACCACGAGCTCACGTTGTACCACACTTAGGCGTTCTTACCTCGTCAAATCACTGTCGTAGCCGTGACGCTCTCGCACACCACACGGAGGTTCCTGCCTTGTTCAAACAGCTCTCTTCATGCCCATCGGAGGCACATAAAGGCACCATGTACCCCCCTTCGGAGAACCCAAGACACCTTTCATGTAAATACAGTAACTCGCAACCCTCATCCTCCCTCTCCTCGCGCACTGCGCACATGTCGGATTCTAGTGACTTTCTCGCATGTGATGTTCCTTTGCGCATCCGCCAAGCGCGAGCGTTCGTCTCCATATTTGTTTTTGCTTCCCCATCCATTACTGTAAGCCGCACAAAGTTGGATCTAGAATCTTGCATTTGAGGCTTTCCTTCATCCTAGGCTGGATCATCGTGAAACGTCGTAACCATCTCGAATAAGTACAAAGGTGCTGGGGAACAGGTTTGCCGAAAGTCTACAGTCTAAGCTCATAGTACAACGAATAATTTGTTTTGATACCGCTTGCTCGGAGACGCGCTTATATTCACTCCTTCCTGTGTTTCTGATAGTAATGGATGAGACCCGTGGTCTATGCAACACACACGTCAAACATCCATCGAGAAGAAGAGGGTGACAGGACGCACCGAACTATCGTGGCCTTTGACATCCGGTGTCAGGCTCCTTGCTGCACATTGATGGTGCAGCTGGTATAGCCTTCATTCCCTTGCCTATCCCCATCTTTGACACTGTATGACTCTTTTCTATTTCATTGATGAACTTGTTGATTACTGTAGATACACATCGTGACGTGTCACGTGTGACTGGTATGGTACTCATACTTAGGAGTATATAATCCTATGTACTTTGTCCTGTATCTGCAGTTTTTTGATAGCTTGCAACTGAGCTTCATCCCTCTGCTTTAATCCTCGTTCTCTCTCCATGTGAACAACCTTAGGGACTTGCCAGTAGACAGAACCTCTGTCGGATTCTTGCAGTAACTCAGCCATAGGGGTTACAACAAGTTTGGCCCGTAGACTCCCACCTCGTGCGCTTCATGCCTATTCCATTTGAAGAAGTCACCGTGCTCAGGCATAACACCAGTGGTGCTTGCATAAACACAACTATGAGTCATTCTCAAGTACTGGGGAAAAAGCCTCATGGCTGGCGAAGTAAGAAGGCCCCCAAGACAGTTGAACAGGATCCTCAGGCTGGGGACGCCACAGTGGTGGTAAACCCACTTTCTTATCTCTTGGTTGGCTTGCTAACAAGGTCGATCCTGACATAATTCAGACACAGGCTCGATGTACACCCCGAAGTGCACAATCAAAACATTAGGTCCACATCCAAATCCTCCTCCCTCACACATTTTCAATCGCTGCTACTCAACCGCTCTCGTTTGGCTGTCGTTGCACTGCCGGCTGCTCCTCCTCGAATTCGATCGCTTTTGCCGGACCGTTTTCATTTCTATCACTACTGTGTTGCTCGGTCTTGTTAGCTCCTGCTGGACTTGTGACGGATTACTGACGCTTTCGTGGAATACCCTGTTATACGACTGTGCTGTGGGTGTCTCTGTAACCTCAGGTAGCGTTTGAAATCGCAATTTTGTGATTTGCCTGGTTATTTCCATGACAAGTGGGACGTATGTAAGCAAGCATGAAAACCCGTGCTATCGAAGCGGAAAATGAGCGCTCGCATGAACTTATTACGGTGTCGCGACGTGGAAAAACAGCTACAAGGCAGTGTTATTCAGTACTTACGACGTTTTTTTTTCGGTGACGAAGACACTATTTTTTACTAGACCGGATGGGCACTTCAGCGTCACATTATGACGCTGAAATTCAATGACTGACACTGATCTTCAGCTGTTCCGACACTTAACAGAAGTGATTTGGACATTTATTTTTATTGATTTTACTTTTTACAGTGTGAATTTGCTGATGAAGGCACCGTGTACCCCCTTCTCTCGTGGGCAGCCCGCAATTAAACGAAGAACTCAAGACACTTTCCATCCAACTCGCAACCTTCATCCACCCTTCCCTCGCGCTGCACGCGTACTTCGCACTCGCATATGGGATTCTAGCGAGTTTCCTGCATGTGACGTTCCTTTGTCATCCGCTGAACTTCAGCATCCGTCCACATATTTGTTTCTCAAGAACTTGGCCGGCTTCTTACATTCGATTGAATGGCCTTGCTTGAACCCATTGGACACGTTTTTTTCCATCTCTGCGAGTACCTTACTGTAACGCGCGAGCTGGATTCAGATTATTGCATTCAAGGCTTTCGTCCATGCCAAACTCACACGCCCGCTCGATCATCGTGAAACGTCATAAACATCTTGAATAAGTACCAAAAGTGTGGTTGGGGAACAAGTTTGCCAAAAGTCTACAGTCTAAGCTCATAGTACAACGAATAATTTGTTTTGATACCGCTTGCTCGGAGACGCGCTCATATTCACTCCTTCCTGTGTTTCTGATAGTAATGGATGAGACCCGTGGTCTATGCAACACACGTCAAACATCCATCGAGAAGAAGAGGGTGACAGGACGCACCGAACTATCGTGGCCTTTGACATCCTGTGGCGCATTCAACTGCGCCAAGATGTTCTTCGCGAGGACTTTGCCAAGCTCAACACCCATTTGATCTGAGTAATGGTGATGCCGATCGGTCAGCGACTAACGACGACAGACACGCGATACGCACCGAAGGAGTTGATACCCCAGATAACGCCCTGCGTGAAGATCTTATGTTCGTACAGCGCAATCAACGCGCCGAGCGTTCTCGGCGTCAACAACGGGAACAAAATACTGTTACTCGGACGGTTCCCTTCGAACACTTTACTCTTCACGACCTCCTCCCTCGCATTGGGGCCGAGCTCTTTACGAACCTCTTCTTCGGTTTTACCAAAAGCCAGTGCCTCGGGTTGCGCGAAAAAGTTGGAAAGGAGGATGCGGTGGTGTTTGGAATGGTCGATAGGGTTGTGGGACGTGCAGGGAGCAAGGAAGTCCGCAGGGACGAGTTTTGTTCCTTGATGTAGGAGTTGGTAGAACGAGTGTTGGCCGTTCGTACCCGCCGCACCCCAGATGATAGGCTATCAGAGAGACGGAAGGGGGCGTAAGCTGTGAGCCGAACACGAAGAAAATGAGGAATAAGTGCGTACTCCGGTCTGATAATCAACCCGCTTGCCAGATTTAGTGACGGATTTACCGTTAGACTCCATATCGCCTTGTTGGAAGTAATCGGCAAACTTGTGGAGGTACTGGTCGTAAGGGAGGAGGACGTGGGTCTGGGCGCCGTAGAAATCGTTGTACCAGATTCCGAGAACGGCGAGGATAACGGGGAGGTTGTTCTCCAGAGGAGTTTCCTTGAAGTGCCTGTCCATCCCGTGTGCACCTCTGAGGAGTTGTTCGAAATTGTCATAGCCAATGTAGAGGGCGATAGAGAGACCGATGGCGCTCCACAAGCTGTAGCGCCCGCCGACCCAGTCCCAGAACTGGAACATGTTATCTTCGTCGATACCGAACGCAGTCACAGCCTTGGTGTTGGTGCTAAGTGCAACGAAATGTTTCGCTACGTGTGCTTGGTCCTTGGCAGTGGACAAGAACCATGCTTTAGCGGATTCGGCGTTGGTGATTGTCTCCTGGGTAGTGAAGGTCTTGCTAGCGATGATGAACAGCGTTCGTTCCGGATCGCAGAGTCGCAATGTCTCGGCGAGGTGTGTTCCGTCGATGTTGGACACGAAACGGACAGTGAGGTCACGTTTGGAGTATGGTTTCAATGCTTCGGTGACCATGACAGGGCCAAGATCCGATCCGCCGATGCCAATATTGACGATCGTATCGATGGTCTTTCCGGTGTATCCCTTCCACACGCCGTCCCTGACTGCATCTGAGAATACCCTCATATGGTTTAGTACATCTGCCACCTGGTTGACGCCATCCTCTTGAATTTTGAAGTCGTCGAAGTTGCGCAATGCGATATGTAACACGGCACGATCTTCGGAGTTGTTG